ATTATATCAACCGGCATAGAATCGAATTACAAAAGCCTTAGGGGGGACACCACTCACTGATTTTCCATTAATGAGCTTCCGCTGGTCGCATAGCGTACCCCTAGCTATGAGGACCAATCCCTTCTCTTCTCTTCCCCCCTCCCCCTTACTCCCATCCGGGGATCCATCGAGTAATATAGCAAAAGCTTCTAGTTCAATCCATGTACCTCCCGCGCAATCGGAGTTTAAGGTATCTTCATGGCGAGATCTAGTGGGTTGAAGATCCGGAAGTGGCACTATGGATCCCAGGATGAAGGAGTGCAATTCATAATTTAGAACACTACGTGTATCAGAGGAGGAGCTCAAGGCTGGAGTTTATATATGGAATGGATTGGGTGCTAGCTCCAGATCATCTATATATCCTAGTGTTACCGACCCCCCATGTAACAAGCGGTGATTAGCATGGGAAAGAAAGAAGGCTGAATTACTAGAACACTATACGGGAGGTTAGTTGTAGACCCACTGCCAGGGATTCAGCTTGGGGGAGAGTAGTAGTGAGTGATAGATCAAGACCACTAAAGTTTCAAAATTTTAGAGCCCCTCACAAGGTGTTCAGATAATGATATTAGGCCACGTTTCCTCTCTCACGAATAGAGTTTACAGGTCCCATGGGTAGTCATATAGTTCCCAGAGCAATGGCAATGACCCCGCAAGAGAATTCCGTTCTTAATATACAATCAAGTGGGAAAGATTTGTCATGTTAATTGGGACACCGGGGATGGGCTTTCCCCAACACTGAGCGCCTGCAAATATGGGGATGTCGGGGTGGTCCCAGCAAGTGGAGCCAAAAGTAAGGGATACGCTTTGGTTATTTGGAGGAGCTGTGATAGTTAAAAGATATTTCTAACTACCATAAAAGTATCCAACAGACCGCATAAACGCAAGCGTTCCTACTGCCTCAATACCCGGAAAACCCGGAATCCTAAGCCCTCCCCCCGAATCCGCTGCAGGAGTGAGAATTCTCTTGGAGCCCCCTCCAACTTCCCATGTGTACACCTCCTCCCTCCCACCAAACTGCCTGCTTACCTCTCTATGGAACATTCACTGCTGTTAAGTGGGAGAGCTGAGTTTGTAACGAAAGTTAGAGCGCCCGCCCGGCGAGAGTGTCCAAGTCACCAAAGTGCTACTCTAGCTTACTCATGATTACAGGAATATGTCTCATAAGGAGGGTGGGTAACAGGAAAGATTGCTTAGACCTTAGTGCTACCATCCGTCTTACCCAAGTTTGCTAAACGCATGGCTCATGAGCACCGGGAACGGTCAATCCCCCAGTGCGCTGCAGGGACAGCGCATTGCAACCGAGATCGACCGTCGAACAAGACCATTGTCGGCAAGTTTTTTTTGTTTGATCGTCAGGCAGCGAGATGGGAAACAGCACCAACCGGGGTCGGAATTTGTAAGAGTAGCGTTTACGGAGACTTTGGTGGTGACTCGCACACTCCGTTTCACAACCCTTTTGCGGGCACTGGTGATGGGGAGGCTAAGCCACAATTTTCATCTGCTATATTGGTGCTCCGGGATAAAATGGAGTTTATTGAAAACCCCTTACTCGGACCGATAATGAACCTCGAGCTCGGGAACGGTACACTTGGTTCAAAGGGTTGGTGGAGCTCTGCAGTGAACATCGCGAGTAACTTACCATAAAAACCGTAGTAATTGAGAATCGCGCTAGGACGTTGGAGTTGCCTCTCCTAGTAAGGTCTGTTGTGTCAACTGGGGGGTGAAGGTGACCCATCGGCTATTTCCCCCCTAATGCGAAGGGGGAAGTTCCTGACGTCCTAGAGCCGTTCTCAATCGTTTCGGTTTATGATACTTTGATCCATGTAAATCTACTAAGCGTTCGAAAGGTTTATAACGAGTGATATTGAATGATCAGGGTTGCTGTGGAAATACTTGGTTGGGCCCTCTCACAGAAACTGTTCCAATTTACACCCCCTATATCATCGCTCACGCACTAGGAAATTCACCTTTCTATCCTCCTGAGCACGTATGATAGAACGGTTCTCATGTCAATAGATGTAACCCCCAAGGAAGTAAGCACAGCGTTCCGGGGGGTTTCTCGGGTTAATTCGGATGGCTCCCCTTTGACACCCCTGGACCCTGCCCAACCCAAACAAGATAGGTCAGTGGTGGATAGAAAGAAGCAGCGCAGATCGCCATTTTGCGGGGTTGGTCAGTGATCGATTCCGGGGGAGGATATCAGGGGTAAGCAAACGCCTCGGACTACCATTAGTCACTCTTGGCTTTCCTAAAAGATGAATCTCCAATGATGGATCCCCTACAAACTCTCATCCACTTGATGTTCCAGAACTCCCACTTTCTCTCAGCTCGGCCACTGCTAGTTCGACACCTGGTGAGACCAGACATATTTTTTACAGATAATGCAACAAGGTACGGCTTCAACCAAGACTTTTCGATTTGTATAGAAGGGGGTAACGATAGTGAGGAGGAAAAGACTGATAGAGTAGGAAGGAAAACAGCTTAGGAACGAGATGACTTCTTGTTACTTCAAAAAAAAAGAGGAAGGAAATACAGGACTTATAATCACTTCCGATCCAAGCTCCCTACCCTCTATGGAGAATCTTGTATCCTCTTCCCTTGATGCCAGCGTGAAGAAAAGAATTTCCCGTTTTAACTCACAAGTCTCTAACGCTGGTGGCCACAGAAGAACAGTCTCTTCACTGACAAAACATCTCCGGTCGGGAACCTGCTTCAGTCAGGAGACAAGACAGAGAATTTGAGACACTTCCGAGAGCATGCTACGCAGCAACTCCTGATTTCCAATAATAAAAAAATTTAAATGGATATCGTGAAATCAGTTCCTAAGCTCCCCAATTGATCAAATACAGCATTTTGAAGGTTCCCCTCTGATGCCCGTGGTGTTCACTGCAGTCCTCCAATCCATCCTGCGAGCATAAATTTCACATCCGGATTCCCGGCTTTATGGATCTGGCCGTAGAGGTCCTCCGGGCCGGGGTTACAACAGAGTGCGCGGATTAACCGAAAAATCTTTTACCGCCATCGATGTGGACCCGGGTAGAAATCGGGAGTGAGGAAAGCAACCCTAACGGTCATGGGTATGGGCCAGGTGGAGTTCCGTAACGAAAACCAGGTCGTGGTTAGAGTCCCGTATATCTTGAACCAAATGTTATGATTTACCTCCAACTACCAACCATTGAAGCCTGTACTTGATAGAAACTAGCAGCACATATACCGTGAAGACCGAAATGATTGAGAATGGCGCTAAGACGTCCATAATTTCCCGGTTCGGATTAGGGAGGGGAATATAGCGGACTACCCCCTTTATCCCTCAATTGAGACAACACCCCTTACTAGGAGAGGCAACTCCAACGTCTCCTGACTCTTTCGGTTTTCACTATAATGTTCACGAAAAAGGCCTAGGCCCTGGGCACCAAAAGCCCTGCAACTTGCCAAACACGGGTATTCTCTATATTAATGCGGAGCAGTGATCGGAATCGGGATGCATGAAGCAGGCCTTGTATACCAAATTCCGATATCTGAACTAACCCCAGCAGCTAACGAAGGAGGTTACGGGAGAGACTGCTACAGATAGAGTTCATACTAGGCAAGAATGGAAATAAAATTGTCCCACTCATTCCCGAGTTTCCAATTGAGTGATAACCCTCCTAGATCTCCTATTTTCTGCGTGACAAAATGACGGGCCATGCTCCAGCCAACCGGCTTTAGCCTCTCAATTCCTCTCTCTTCGTTTTGAAAACCGACCCAAAGGGTTCTTTGGGCTAGCCCGGTTCTCGAGCCTGGAGTCCGGTGGCCCGGAAGCTTTGGCTGCCTTGGGTCCGGTCGACATGGTTCCATTTCAAACCTAGTTAAAGAATTCTTGGAATCAATTCATACCTGTTGCCAAATTTGACTTGCCTAGAGCTTTGTAGGGCGATGGAAATTCTATGTACAATCAAACTCTGGCGGGTGGCTCGAATGACTAATGTACGATTACTTGTCTATAGGGTGCTGGATCTGAAAAATACAAATGAAAGTGAAGAGCTGAGAAAACAGGACCAAAAACGAGGCATTCCCCAAGAGGGAAGAAGACACTAGCTCCTTAACAACAGTCCTCCATGAACTCGTAACAACGGCCTTATTCCGGTTGGAGGCGGGGAGGAAAGGGGTGGATGAACAAATATCGCGAGATGGAAACGGAGCTCCAAAGCCCAAGAGCAGACCCAACCAGCTAAAGAATAAATTGGTAGGTCGGCGTGACACTCCCCACCTTTTCCAAACTATTTTCCATCCTTTCCTGCTGTCTCCGGAGAAACTAGCATCAACCTTCTCCTGCTGTCAGGGTCGCTTGATATATTTACAGATTAACGGAAAGTGTGGATGTATCTCCATAGGATCGGAAATATATCCAATTTCTATCTCAAAAGCGGGTAATAATAATAATAAAGATATAGGGTCAAACAAGAGGTAATCAGTGTAAGATAGTAAAGTAGGACACTCAGTACGCGCCGGAAACTCCCGTGGTGTGGGGCAAAGGGCTTGGTTAGAGGTGTTGGACTGGGTGCGGAATAAAGGAGACCGAGTGATAGTGGGTTTGGAGTGGTCGGATGCCCGGGGAGGATCAAAGATCTGGGTGAGGGTATTCAAGCAAACTCCCCAATGAGGGGATTCGAAATTGGGGAGAAAGTGGCGCAAGTCGTCCAGGGCATTCACTTCCAGAAGGGGAAATGGGGTGGAGGAAATGAGCAGGTTGTGCGGGGTACGACATAGAGTACTGTCATGGGGCGGCAGACTGCTGGGAACGTGGTGTGAACAGGCAGGAGTTGAGATTTCTTATAGACATCGTATGAAATAGCTGTAGGAGAAACAGCGAGGAAATACAGGATATTTAAGGGGCAACTGCAAGGACCGGTAGCGTCTTTAAGAATAGAATATTGGAGAAATAAAACAAGGGAAAATATCCTAGCCAGACGTGCCGCGACTTGTATCACCCGCCGAAGTCCCTGCATTGGGAAGCGCCCCGTGTGTAAGGAGGAGTTGCACGATGGGTTCATAACGTAATCCTTTCGCTGCCCGTAGTGCGTTGCCATACAGGCCACCATGAGCATTCACATCTGCCCCACGCTTGAGGAGAAGCCGCACAATTGGTTCGGTTCCATTTACCGCAGCTGCTTGTAGTGCATTGCCATAAACGCCACCCTGAGC